TTTATTTCTTTTGTTTGTTTGGGTTTCTGTTTACTGAGTTTGGTGATTTTAGTTGATAAAAGTAAAATTTTAATAATACTTTGTCTAGTATTGGAACAATATATGTTTTATTTAGAAACCTTCAAGCTGTGGAATATAGTGTGGTGATTATTGTGATTATGTCTTATTGAAATTTGGATATTATGAATTCAAATATGTAGGGAATGATTTTTGAGTTTGGACTGCTCACTATCGGGGGAAAAATTTATGACAGTGCCTCTTCGTGTAGAGTTCCGAGAGCAAGAGTAAAACAAGCCAATAAAGATGAAGATCTTCATGAAAACATTAATTGGAGAGACCATTACTCTCGAGGTCGAGAGCTGCGATACTATCGACAATGTCAAGGCCAAGGACAAAGAAGGTATACCTCCTGACCAGCAGAGGCTTATATTTACTGGTAAACAATTGGAAGATGGCCGGACCTTGGCAGATTACAATATCCAAAAGGAATCAACACTTCACCTCGTTTTGAGGCTTAGAGGAGGATATCAAGGTGAAGACACTCACATGAAAAGAAATTGAAATCAATATTGAGCATACTGATACTATTGAACGTATCAAGGAGCGGGTTGAGGAGAAAGAAGGAATTCCTCCAGTCCAACAAAGGCTCATTTATGCTGGTAAGCAGCTTGCAGATGACAAAACTGCTAAATATTACAACATTGAGGGTGGCTCTGTTCTTCACCTGGTCCTTGCTCTCAGGGGTGGCGGCCTTTAAATAGCTCTATGATATGCTTGGAATTTGTCTGATTTATTTGTGTTGTGTTATGAGGTCCATCCTTGCTTTTATGAAAGAGCAAAAAATTGTTTGGACCATCATATTGTCTTATTAATATTGTGATCATTGTTCGCAACAAAAAAAAAAAAAAAAAAATTTTGCTTTTATGAAAGAGCAAAAAATTGTTCGGACCATCATATTGTCTTATTAATATTCTGATCCTTGTTAGCAACAAAAAAAAAAAAAAATTGCTCCGTTCTTCACTAGTAATATTGTCTTATTATATTCTGATCATTTTCACTTTTGTTTTGCACCTAATTTCTTTAATTGATTTATACAGACTAAAGTTGGAAATGCTGCTAAAGTTGGCAAGAAGAAATGAGTTCCTAGGGTATCACGCTTTCCATGTTTGGAAATTGAATACAGAATTCTTTTTGCAGCCAAGTTTCTTATATTGTTTGTCATTTTCTCTAGTTATTTTTTGTTGCCTTTTCCTATTAGAAGAAATGCAATTTTGTGGAGTTTTTCAGTACCAAGTATTGAATTCTTAAATCACATTCACAGATTGGAAGTGAAACATTCAGTTTCATATGATTTATGTTATGATCTCTTGCTTGCATGCACGACTGTGTTTATTCTGACTCCTGTTGGGGATTTGATGGTTGGCCTTTGATATTTTAGGTTTGATGAGTTAAAAATTGTTAGCCATTTGGCTTTATTGATTGGGTCTTCAGGGCCTGCAGTATGTGTGTATAGTCATTGTATTTAGATGATCAAAATTGTATTTGGCAAGAATTGTGAGAACTACCATGAACTCGATATGATTGATTTCAAAATATTTATTACCATGACAACATAAGTGCTCCCCTTTTTTGTACCTTTTTTTTTACTTGTAAGTAGTTTATCTATAATCAATGAGTAATGTTATTTATTATCACTTATGATAGTCATCGTGTTTAGACCATCAAAATTGTATTTGGCAAGAATTGTGAGAACTTCAAAATTTATATGTTATTTAATACTATATTAGTATTAAACTATTAAAATTAATTGAATAATCAGATTTCTTGAATAAAACATTATTTAAAAAATTTTCAAAATTTCAAAGTAAACGCGTTTTCCATTTTTATGTTTTCAGAATGGCCAAAAGAACGCATTTTCAGAAATTTCAAACAGACACTCAAAACACAAAATGAATTCAAAACTCAGAACACAAAATTGAAATACAAAGAGAACAATCCCTTAGTATCCAAGAGTGACGAATTTTTTATTAATTATTTGCAACATTCACATGATTTTTATCATATTTAACAGAGCAACATCAAATATTATCAAAGTATGACTACCCTTACATAAGACACTATGATGATATCAAGTCAAATAACCAACTCCACTATCTAACTTTAGAAATTAAACACCAACACGAAGATATTTATTCATGTAGAATATCTATAGCAGATCTCCAATATTTTGTTCTCTTAATGAAACATTTATACATTCATTTAAATGTCACAACATTTTGGCTTGTGAGATCAGGTACTTACTCTATAAGTGAGAAACGATACACATGTAGCCTATGAGCAATAATGATATTCGTATATAGTTATTACTTACGATCACTGATAGTTAAAAATTCAATCATATGTAACTTGTATTTCATAATCATAATTCCTTGTGATCAATGAGTTATTAAGACTTGAATTCACGGACTTTATCAATTTAGTTTATCAGAATAATAGTTCAATTAAATAATAGATCTTCCATAAATTAAAAGTATCGAGCATATTAAAAGTATTCACATTCTACAATCGATTGAACATAGAGTATAACACTTATAATGGTAACATTTGAACATTTCCACACCTATTGCTTCTCCCGATTTCAAATGAGATGATTCAATATTGTATTACATACATGGGTTGTTTAAGTCATGCTCCACTATTTAAAAATTGGGCACATTCCAAGATTTTGATGAAAAACAACTTGAACATACGTGTTGAAAATATAATTTAATGCCTTGCTTGAGCCTTATTTTTAAAACTCAGTTTTTATCAAACTCATTTTCAACGTCATATTATTTCAATAAAAGAATTTTGCACTTTAATTCAAATCTCCCCTCCCCCCTACTTTTTAACCATAAATCTCCAAAAAAAAAAAAAAAATACTTTTTACAAAATTCATTTAAAAAAATGGAGCTCAAACATGGACTAAATAAACAAATCTTTCATTGTCTATAACAATATTCAAATATATCATTAATTTTTTTTATTTTTCATTCAAGTCATCCAAATTTCACGCTAACTTTGGTCTAGTTTCTCCATCCATTCTTGATGGTCAACCGAAAAAAAAAAAAAAAAATCCCACGTTACAATTAAATTAAAGCCTATTAGAGGCCCTTTTTTTGTTGCTAAAAATACATTTTGAAATAGTAATTTGATGGAGAATGTGTAGTTAAAAAATAATTAAAAAAAAGTTTTGTATTTGTGTGTAATATTATTTTATTGAAGAATGTGTGATTAAAAATAAGAGAGAGAAAAATGTATTTTGAAAATAATGGAGATCAAACAAGAGCTTAATCTGGGTTTTCCATCCATTCTTGATGGTGAAACGGCAAAAAAAATAATAAAAAATTCCACGTTACAATTAAATTAACATTACATAATGCTTGTTTTTCATTCAAGTCATCCAACTTTTAAGCTAACTTTACTTTCTTTATCTCGTCCATTCTCGATAATCAAACAAAAAACAAAAAAAGCCCCAAGTTACAATTAAACATAACATAATGCTAAGTTGGATTCTCACTCGAAATAACATAGATTAGGTTAGGAATTCTTAAACATATTAGCATTTTCAAGTGTAATTAACACAAGAAGACAGCTCAAATCCTAGTAGATAATATTTATTATATTCAAATCTTGCACGTTGTTTGTCGACTATAAAACATTGGGAGAAACTCAAATGACAACGTGCAAACTACTAAGAACATGCATTACATGGTTCCTTAAACAAACAGGTGTGCAATGAGACTAACAATATTTTTAATCTAAAAATAGAAAATTTATTACTCAGAAAATGGCTGTTATAATATGAAAAAAAACATAACAAGGGGTAAATGCATCGTCGATCACTGAATATTAAACACAAGTCCAATCGGGTAACTAATCTTTAATTTTGAGTAATCTGGACATTCAACTTTAATTTGCATCTAAACATGATCACTCAATCTCAACGTCAGTCTAACTAATGTGATATGTTGACATAGAGTTAAAACTAATGGAGGAATGACTTGTATGTTCAGACCATACAATACTCCACATCATCCATCTTAAAACACATTTATAAATGCTCAAACAAAAAAACACATTCTTTTTGGTAGATGAGAGCATCACCGAACCGTTTTCATTCTTTATACACGTCGTCTCTTAATTTTTTTAACGCGCGTCAACGTCAACATAACACATTAGCTAGACTGTCGGAAATAGATGGAGTGATCACAAGTGCACGGAAATCATAGTTGCGTGATCTAATTGCTCAAAATAAAAGATAAATGACCTGGTTGCACGTCAATGCGTTTAACCCATATAAAAAGCATTTGTTACATCTTACTTTTGGTTGCTTAAAATTGGAATATGATGCGTTTGAACTTTGAAAGGGGAAACTGTAGTGGAGGCTCCCAATTGCGAGTCCTGCAGGAAGTTCGTCCCTAACCATTTTTTCTTGGTAAACATGTCTGACTTTTTAAGTTTGTAACGCGGTCGTATTTAGTGAACAATTCATGTATATGCTGTCTTGAAAAAGGCACGTATGTTACTTGTGGAACACTTTTGATGGATAAAATAGATCAATTTAAAATAATTTATAGAGAAAAAAATAAATGAAAAAGGAAAAGAATGCAGTCCAAAAGAAAACAATCAAACCTCTAACATCACCTTTCACCACCACCCACGTTTTCTTCCCCTTGCCTCTGAGTTGTCCTTTTAACTTCTGCTCGCTGACCAACATTCCCGTCTTTATTGTTCCACAACACCCAATCCCGTGTTGGTTACTCTCCCTCGATGACAATTTTGTTGAATTTTGTGACCCAAATTATGTTGAAATTTTTGGGAATATATTTTTCCTTCTTTGCACATATTTGAAAAAATATTATTTCTTTTATTTCACGTGTATTATTGGAAAAATATTGTTTCCTTTATTTCACGCGATTTGTTTTTATCTTGTTTCCATCTTAGGTTTGGATATCTTTCCTATAAATAGTAGACTCTTCATTTAGTTTTTGAGAGTAGAAATTGCTAAAATTGTATTTTCTCTCTATTGATCGTTTAATAAAATATCGGTTCCTCTACCAATTTTTCTTCACTGTATTTTAAATCTTGTTCTTGTTTGGTGAGTGATCAATACTTCATATTACTCCATTAATCTCTTTCGATTTTTCAAAACACGTGGGTTCAAAGGGTCCCAACAAGTGGTATCAGAGCTACAGGTTGTTGAATTTATTTGAGATTTCTAGTTTCGATAGTTTCCATGAAGTGACATTCCGCTTTTGGATCGCAATACAAGGTTTTCTATGTGGCAAGTAAAGATGAAAGCAATTCTGGCATAGATGGATTTGGACAATACTCTATTGGGTTTTGATAAAAGCCAACAACTTAGACAACATAGGAGAAGCAACGGAATGATCAGAAGGAGTTGTCTATGATTCATCTTCATCTTTAATTTATTTGAGATTTCTAGTTTCGATAGTTTCCATGAAGTGACATTCCGCTTTTGGATCGCAATACAAGGTTTTCTCTGTGGCAAGTAAAGATGAAAGCAATTCTGGCATAGATGGATTTGGACGATACTCTATTGGGTTTTGATAAAAGCCAACAACTTAGACAACATCGGAGAAGCAACGAAATGATCAGAAGGAGCTGTCTATGATTCATCTTCATCTTTCTAACAACATTCTTCAGGACGTGGTTAAGAAGAAATCAGCTGCTGCATTGTTGTTAAAACTAGAG